AAGTGTTAGAAATAGAAGCTGAGGAAAGCTGACAGCTGAAAACAATATTTGTTGGTGACACAAGAGGGTTCCATAAACCTGGCGAGTCTGGGGAACTGGTGGCCCACCATGCCTCCTCTGCTGTTTTGTGTTAGACTGTAAATAAACAGATAATACACTGAAATAAGATGAGGGTCAATGGAGATCAGACCTTCTAATTATTAAGGCAGTTTTACCTAGAGACCTCTGAGTAGGGAGATGCTCAACTGTATCAATGGTGGACAGTAATTCTAGGAACCAAGGCACTGTGTGATAGCTATTCATGGATGTCAAATTGACTACCACATCTGGAATTAACTAAAATCCAAGCAGCTGGGTGCACCTGTGAGGGATTTTTCTTGATCAGTTCCTGTGAGGTGGGAAGGTCCACCCTAAATCTGGGCCACACCTTCTGGTGGCAGTCCACATAAAGGACATGGGAGAAGGAAGCTCTTGCTTTTTGCCTGCTTGTCCTCACTCTCACTGGCAAGTTCATTCCTTCGCTGGCTTTAGAGCCTACTTCTTCATGATTCCAATATATACTGAAGACAAGCTGAGACATCTAGCCTCATGGACTGAACAACCTCTGGGTCCTAGGGCTTTCTGTAGGGGAAAAGTCACTATTAGACTAGCTGGACCACAGTGGGCAAGCCATTCCAATAAATCATGTATACTCACTATCAGTTCTGTTCCTTTAGGGAACCCTGACTAGGAGAGAAGGCTAGCCCCTTTTTTATATCACAATCTAGCATGCATTTTCCAGGGAGGCACAGCTTCAAAAACATCAGGGAAGATGGGTTTGGGAGCAATGCTAAAATGTCCTTAAGGACATAGAGTCCTGGAGAATTTAAGAAACAGGAATGCTTACAACTTTCCTTCCTGCATGCCAAAGACCAAATTTTAGTGCTCAGAATGTCAAATGTTAATCCTTCATGACACTTTAGGTAAATGAAGTAGCTGCTGCATGTCCTTGATTTCATGACCTTGACTCATCTGACTCATCTCGTCACCCCAAGTGCCTCACAAAGGAATTGGGGCTGGTATTCTCTAAGCTCCTCAAATGGAAACCAATCACCAAGAGGTTCCTTACTTGCCCCATACTGCCCAAAGGATCTCCTGAAAACAGTAGTACTCATTGACCTTCGGGTAGCCATGAGGTTCATGATGGGGAGAGTGATGTCATGTATTCCTGTACTGTTTACATTTTTATTTGTTCTGTGATTAACACATTCATCATCTTCAAAGTTGACCTTTATGGGAAGCAAGGGCTAACAGGGACTCCATTATTCACTTCTAATGTGATTCTAAAAAGCCTGTGCTAGATAAAAGATTCAATGTTCATTATCTCATAATGAGAACTAGTTGGAAGTTTAAGATCAGATTTACATTCAGCCCTATATTCATGAAATCCCCAGTGCCTTATGGGATAGATACAACTGTAGGCTATATTCTAAAAGTAAGGCATAAAGCCTGATGACCAATGGGCAAAGATTTGCATTGTGCATTTTTTTTTTACTGCCCTTGGCTTCTGTCTGCCCCTTCCCATCCTTCCAGGCAGATCACAAGCTCCCTTTTCTCTCATACCTCACAGAGAGAGTTATCATCCCTGATAGTCAGGGGACACTGCCATACGTTGAGCATGATGCAGAGGAGGAGCATGCTCCCCAGGTCAACTGACAGAGGCTGGCTCACCCCTCAAAATCAGTTCTCATGGTATGTGTAAGGGGCTTGGAAGAAGTTTTTCTTTCACTTTTAGTGTGTGTGTGTGTGTGTGGGTGGGTGTGTGTGCGCGCGCGCACACACCCACACATGCATGCACTCATGCATGCTTTTGCATGTGTATGGGCACATGTGTGTGTCCATGTGCCTACGTTTGAGGTCAGTAATCACACTCCATTGAAGCAGGCTGTCCCAATCAAACTCATAATGCAGCAATATGGCTTCCCCTGGGGATCCCACCTCTGTCTTTTTTTTTTTTTTTTTGAGACTAGAATTGTAAGTGGGCCACTGTACCAACATGTCATTTACGTGGGATTCTGAGAGTCTGAACTCAGTTCTCACAATTGCACAGCAAATATTTTAGCCTCTGAGCTGTCTTCCAGCTCAGCGGGGGAAAGATGTTTAACAGCCATAGTAAGGACAAGTAGAAACAGTGCTGGAATGCATTCTTCGCCTGGGCTACTGAGCAGTGGCATAAAATAGCCAGCCAGGGACACAGTGACAGTGTCCTGTGTCCCCTGGGGTAGAGAGCCTGAGTCTCAGAGAGACTAGAGGAAAAGGCAGCTTGGCTTTCTTTTAAGTATACGCCACTGGCTAGAGAAGTGACCCCTTCTCTGACTTATTGAATACTGGCCAATTTGCTATTAATCAGTGTACATACAAAGTTCAGTGGGAAAGATGGAAAGCCCAATGTTAACATTAACAGTGAAGTCCACACAACTTGGCCTTGCCTATCTGCCACATACCATTATATCACCAACTATGTAATGACTATCCCACATCAGAACATGCAGGAGAAAAGAAGACAAGGACACACACTCACAGCCTCTCTGTGTTAACCCCAGACTCAAACCCCTGACAGCCCTTCTGTTGGCAGCTTGGAATGAAGGCACCATGGGACACAGGGATCACCTGGTCCTCCTGAGTATACTATAAGACATAGAAAGGAATGAAAGAAAGAAAGAAAGGAAGGAAGAAAGAATGAAAGAAAGGAAAAAAAGAAAGGAAGGAAGGAAGAAAAGAAAAAAGAAAGAAAAAAAAGTGCATGTCAGGAATGCTTCAAACAGAGGCTTTCGGGAAAAACAGCCTTAGGAAGCAGCAAGTTCCAGACTGCAAAGTTCTAGAACAGAACATTCCAGAACAGCAAGCACACATTGAATACCTTTATGAGAAGGGTGCTGTCCTATGCCACCCCATGCAAGCACTCTCTTGGGTGTAGCTCTGAGAGACAGGGATAAGGTCAGCAGAGGGATCTGCCAAACCCTGACTTAGAGAGATACTATCTTGTTTAGGAGAAGCCTAACATCATGACAGGCTGGAAGGGAGGGACAGTTGTGCGAAGCTGGGGTACGGTCATTATCCTGAAGGCAGAAGGGAATTTCTCTAGAGTTGTGGTTCCCAAGTGTGGTTGTCTGAATGATAACAGCCCTATGGGTTCATAAATTTGCAGGGTTAGTCTCCAGTTGGTGAAGTGATACAAGGATTAGGAGGTATGTCCTTGTCAGGGGAGGTGCGCTTTGAGGTTTCACATTACCATTCCAGATCTAGTTGTGACCCCCCTTCCCCACCTGCCCTTTCTCTGCCTTCCTGCAGATTAGGATGTAAAAGCTCTCAGCTACAACCCCAATACCAAGTGTGCCACCATGCTCTCCCACCATGATGATAATGGACTAGGCATCCAAAACTGTAAGGCAGCCCCCAGTTCAATGCTTTCCTTTGAAAGAGTTGCCATGGTCATGGTGTCACTTCACAGCAATAGGACGTTGGAGAAGATGGTAAGTTTTCTGAGGAACACATTATAAATGTAAATATGAGTATGACCAGTTACAGTGTACAAGAACACATAGTATAAGAATTTAAGACAGAAGAAATGGCCCTTAGAAGGATTGCAATTCAGTGAAGTGTCCACACAATGGTCTAAACCAGTGGTTCTTAACCTTCCTAATGCTTCAACCCTTTAATATGGTATGGGCCAGACAGCAATATGAAGCAGACATGGATCCCAAAGGACAGGCTAGAGCAGTGGTTCTCAACCTGAACGACCCTTTCACAGGGGTTGCATGTCAGAGAGCCTGCATATCAGATATTTGCATTATGATTCATAACAGTAGCAAAATTACAGTTATGAAGTAGCAGGGAAACGATTTCATGGTTGGGGGTCAGCACAACATGAGGAACTGTATTAAAGGGAAGCAGCATTAGGAAGGCTGAGAACCCACAGTTCTGGAGTATGGTCTGCAGAGAAACACTAAAGACAGTCTACCCCCCCCCCCCCCCCCCCCCACACACACACTTTATAAAGCTGGAGAATGGCAAAAGGAAGGGAATACTGGGGAGAGCTTGACCAGAACCTTTTAGAGAATACATAGTCAAGAATGGGTCAGACATGCTGAGGTGAGAGCCTGTGGCCTAAGCCAAAGCAGCTCCTCTGTCACCCAATTCTTAGCAAAGGAGGAAGCAAAGACCAAGTAAAAACATGGATAGTCACTTAAAAAAAAAAAAAAAAAAAAAAAAAAAAAAAGGAAGAAAAAAAAAAAAAACACTTTAGCATCTTTGTTGCTAATTTTAAATATTTACTCCCTCCTCCCTGAATTCCTGACCCTCACAAAAGAGCCTGCAAGAAGAGTTTTTGCCCTTTTACTGGAAAATATGTGTGTGTGTGTGTGTGTGTGTGTGTGTGTATGTTGGAAGTGGACTGAGCTACTAGCAATAAATAAAGGACTGGACAATTAAAAAAAAAAGTCTCTTCCTGTTGGATAATGTCTAGTTCCCACCCCCACCCCCCCCCCACCCCTGCAGCATAACCCTCCAGCTCTCCATGACTCCTCCTTCCCAGAGTCTATTGACTGGAGACAGCTAAGCCAAACAAACTCAGGAAAGGGCAAGAGATCAGGAAGTGGAGGAAGTTCATGGCACAGGAGGAAAAAGACAAGAGAATGCCCTGATGTTCGAGGAAGAGGGTGGGGAGACAGGAGTACAGGTTCCCTGGAGATCACAGAGTCAAGCCTTTAAATGTCAGGCTGGAGCATTAAATCAGAACACACAAACAGTTGGTCAAACCTCCCTGGGCCTTTCGCATATCAACATTCACAGTGATAAACAACTCCCCTCACCCCGCCCCAGGCCTCTGTATGCAAATTGGAACAAACAGCCAAGCTAAAGCCAGTTGCTGGGAGAGCAGCTGGGCAAGGACCAGAGGTAGTTCAAGTGTCTGGAGAAGTCTGCTTTCATTTTTTTAGAAAAGGGAAGTCAGAAGAGGCTACCTGTAGATCACGCCATGTTGGTGGAGGAACATGAGAGCAGACGTGACCTCTGCAGCATAGAACCGAGAACGAGGCTCGTCGAATTTTCGGGACCGCTGGATCTGGAACATGAGGTCTCCACCGTTCACATATTCCATGACAAAGAAGAGGCGGTCCTGGAAGGAGAGAAGAAAATGTTACATAAGCCGAATCAGAGCAGTACCTGGCTGGGGGCTAGCTATCCTCTGGTGATTCCAACAGATCAATCACCAGGACTCAAGGCTGATGGAGTGTTCCAGAGGGAGACAAAAGGAGGAAGCTCTTGCAGGGTGTCAAGTGTTACATAGAATTCTTTCTTTGGGAATGGAGACGTAGCTCAGTTGGTACGGGGCTTGCCTAGCAGCCATGAAACCCTGGGTTACATCTTTGGTAGCACATAAACTGGGCGTCTGAAGCAAGGCTACAACCCCAACTTTGGGGGCTGGGTACAGCCACAGGATGCAGAGCCCCTACATCGGGGGTTCTCAACCTTCCTAATGCTGTGACCCTTTAACATAGCTCCTCATATTGCAGTGACCCCCCCCAACCATAAAACTATTTCATCTACTTTCTAACTATAATTTTGCTATTGTCATGAATAATAATGTAAACAATCCTTGTTTTGCAGCGGTCTTAGGTGACCCCTGTGAAAGGGTTGCTCGATCCCAAAATGGGTTGCAACCTATAGGCTGAGAACCACTGCTCTAGGCTTTCTGTCCTCAAACACAGCCCCCAGAGAGCCGAGCCACAGTCACCTGCTCCATATCTGTATCTACGAGGACTTGAGGAGAAAGAAGCCTGAATCCATTTTACACAGTTCACCATATCCTAAGCAGCTAGCATGTGAGATGTGTTCAGGGCATTGCGGAAGGAGGTATAAGCTGGTGTCCTGGTGGAGATGGGACATGGACAGAATGGGGAAAGAAAACACAAGGGGACCTGAGCAAGGTGACGATACAGGGCGCTATCCAGACTAGGAAAACCAGGGGGGCATCTAGAAGCAGACAGACCTTACTAGAACAAGTCGGGGACAGATACCTCAACATGGGAACAGAGTTGACATGCTTAGGGACATCAAGGTGACCAGACCAGAGGGGAAAGCTAGGCTAATAGAGGTTGGAGAGGCCAAAGGGATACAGGCATCTTGCTCCCCCAATACCCCTCTCACTCTCATGTCTCCTGTAGCCCAGGGTGGCCTAGAATTTGCTATGTAGCCAAGAACCATCTTGAACTCTCATCTTCCCACCTCCACCTCCTGAATTCTGGAATTAGAGATGTTTTGTGTGGTGCCGGGGATCAGTCTACCAACTGCCTCAGCCCCAGGACACATCCTTAGCACAGAAATGAATTCTAAACCCAGTTCCCAGAGGACATCATTTTCTCCCACGTCTGAGGAAAGCCAACCATAGACGGCTCTTCATTCACAAAGCACAGCTATTGTGCTCTCAGCCTCTCTTTGGCAGAAAGTGTACACTAATCTCTTCCACAGGATGCTTTCCTGGTACTCAGAGAGGACCCAAGGTAGAATTTCTCTTCCGTTCGTCTCACACTTCCTCTCTGTGGTGGTTTGAAAGAAAATGGCCCCCAAAGAGAGCCGCACTATTAGGAGGAGTGGCTCTGTTGGAGGAAGTGTGTCACTGTGTGTAGTTGGGGGGCAGGCTTTGAGGTCTCTTTTGCTCAAGTGTCCCCCACCCCGTGTGACAAACAGTCCATTTCCTGTTGCCTTCTGATCAAAATGTAACCAACACTATGTCTGCCTGCATGCTGCCATACTCTCCTACATGGTGACAATGGACTGGACCTCTGAACTGTAAGCCAGCTACCCCAATTTAATGTTTTCTTTTTAGATGAGTTGCTATGGTCATGGTGTCTCTTCACAGCAATAGAAACCCTAATTAAGACATCCTACAAGGCCTCTCCCATTTCCTCCTCAGAGCAGCAATTTGTCTTCAGAAGTTCATGTTGCCTTGCTAATTGTTCACCTAAGCCAGTGGTTCTCAACTTTCGGGTCATGACCCCTTTGGAGATCAAATGACCCTTTTACAGGAGTCACATATCAGATATCCTACATATCAGATATTTACATTACAATTAATAACAGTAGCGAAATTACAGTTATGAAGTAGCAATGAAACAATTTTATGGTTGGGACCAGCACAACATGAGGAACTGCATTAAAGGGTCACAGTGTTGGGGGGTTGAGAACCACTGCTCTAAGCATCCCTTCCCACTCACCCCCTCAAGGTCAACAGTGCTCAGGCCGACTCCCACCCAAAGGAGTGAGCAACTCTTAAGTGTGGGGCCAAGCCAGTTACTGTTGAAGCCACAGGTGACCCTGATGTCCACTCAGGATGGGGAAGCCACAGCCTCTCATCCACCTGGTTTCTGTCAGGATATTTTTACAATAGCAAAACTTAAGGATTAGTAAATTAGTTGTTCTCTCTCTCTCTCTCTCTCTCTTCTTTCCAAAGGCTCCCTCTAAGATGTAAATTAAACTACACTGAGATTCAATCTGACCCCAGTGAGAAGGGCTCTCATCAAGAAAGCACAAGAGCTGCCATCAAGGATGGAGGAGAGGGGATACACCGCTGGTTGGGGATGCAAACCAGTGGAGCTGCTGTGGAAGTCAGTATGGAGGTTCTTCAAAGAACTGAAAACGGAACTACATACAGTAAGATCTGGCCAGATCTCTCCCGGGTGTGTACCTAAAGGGTTCTGCATCCACATATCAGAGTGAGCTTATACATCCAGGCACATTTGCTGCCCTATTCGTAACGGCTAAGACACAGCACCAGCCTTCGTGTTGAGCAACAGCAGAATGAGAAAAAGATGGGGCCCACACACTGGATAGTTTTATTCAGCCACAGAGAGGAATTGAATCCTGTCATTTGGAGGAAAAACGGATGAAAAGGGCATTTGACATGTAACTACAAGAGGGTCTATGGCGGAGGAAGAGTGTTCCAGGAAGTCTACCACCAGTCCACTAGCCAATCAATAGGAGTATTTTGGTCCAAGAGGTGGGGCTTTCATTGGGAATGGACGGAATAGATGTGACTGAAAGAAAAGGCAGAACCCAGAGATGCACAGGCCTTTTGATGGAGGAGCAGCAGCTGAAGGTGGGTGACTCATTTAGATTCCCCATTTTGTCTTGTGATGTTTGTGCACGGGTTTTCTTGACAATAAACAGTAATCTCTGGACAGTCTTTGTCAAAAAAGGATGTAAAGGAAGGCGCAGAGGCACGAGAGAGTAGTGGGTACATGTCAAGGTGGTTAGTTTGCCAACTTGGTACAGTCTAGAATCACCGGGGATGAGACTCTCAGTCTAGACCTGGCTAACATATGAGCATGTCTCTGGGGAGCTGTCCTGGGGAGCCGTCCTGACAGCCTTAAGTGATGTGGGACATTCAGACTGAAAGCGCACAGCGTCATTCTCTGGTTTGGGGTCAGCACATGCCCCACTCTGCCACTGTGGATTCCCTGCTGAGATGGACTGTGCTGTGGATATAGAAGCCAAATCAGACTTTCTCCCCTAAGCTGCTTTTTGTTAGGACATTTTGGCATAGTAATGGAGATAAAAACGGGGGGGGGGGGGAAACAAATGCTAAACGGTTTTGCTCTTATGTGGAATCAAGATTTAACTCTCTCTCTGTGTGTGTGTGTGTGTGTGTGTGTGTGTGTGTGTGTGTGTAAAATGAAAGCAAAAGAACAAGGGAAAGGAAAGGGATTAACAAGAGGGGATAATAGGAAATAATGGCTAAATACGAGTAAAATACAATGACCTATGTATGAAAATGCCTTCATGACGGCTATTATTTTGTACACTAAAGTTTCACTTAAAGAAAAAGAAATGGGATTCCTCCAAGGACAAACATCCTTAGCATCAAGATTACTCAGAGTCTCACGAGAACAGGGATCCTTGCAGTCCACATCATTTCTAATTTTGAACCTGAGCGTTGACATCTCTAACAAGTTCTCAGGAGATGATGCTGGTCCAGTGACCACACTTGGAGAACCACAGCCCTAGAGGCCATGGGGGCAGCCTTTCCCAAGGCAAGCACAGATACACTGCTTGTTCACACTCTCCCCTCAGCTGAACAATTCCACCAGAAATAATGACCACAACAGTGGAGGACTTGAAGAGTCTAAATCTCCAGAGGGAAAAATTTCCCACTCTTATTGTTGTAGTCTATCCTAACATTAGCCATGTTGTCCTGAGGACAGAGTGACAAAGGGGAGTGTCCACACAACTGCCTCACTCACTGGCTGCCTGATTTCAGGCTGAGAACTTCATCTCTCCTTGCTCAACTTTTCAACCTGTAAAAGTGGGGATCTACAGGGTCCACCTTATAGAATTGTGCTTTACTTTTTGTTTTGCAGTACCCAGGGTTCAAACTGAAGAGTCTTGAGCATGCTAGGCAAGCTACATCCCTAACCCTAAATGATATGTTAAAATACCAGCTCATAGTTGGATTAGCCAGGCTGATGGTCATTGGCAGTGCTAACAGCTGTTATTGCTGTGTATTTCTTCCTCAGCCTTTCTCCAGCTTTTTCCCCTGATCACCTTCTCTTCCAACAAATATTACTTCCCTGGGTCCTCAGGCTGGTTCCTCTTGTTGAGTCTACCTCCCTCCCCGTCTCTTTGCTCTGTGCCACCCCTGGCTTTCTGTAGACTTCTCCCTACAGCCATGAAGTGCAGAGCTCACAAGGCTACATGCTGGGCCTTCCTGGTGGTGTGAGTTTACTTACATACACCCACAGCTCCCAAGGCTCTCTGCATGGATGACTCACATGCTTAGCCCTCCCGTTTAGAGACATCTTCTGCCAGCTCCAGACCTACGGCTCTGCTTCTGATTCCCCTCCAGGCACTCAAACCCAACATGTCAAAATGGACCCCATCATCTTCCTCGGCAAGCTGGTCCTCACATGGCGTTTCCTGTCTGAAGTCCAGTCTTCCCCTCCAGCCTGTTTCTCATCCTCTCTCTTCCCAACCCCCCCCCCACCCGGGCCCTGTTGCTCTTGCCTAGTGTACCTTTCTCATTTCTCACAGCTGCCCACTTGCTCTGTTCTCTGCCATTGCCATGCTCATCTCTCTGATGCAAACAGCTTTTGCCGCTTGTCTAGAGAGTTCTGCCTCATT